GCCAGATGGCAAGAACACTGAATCATTCCCATTAAGGCTTATAGGAATTATACACCCTTGCCAAAAATGCATATGACCTAAGTTTCTGCTTGTTAAATGGACATGTTACCACTACTTGGGCAGTACATGCTGGATGTGTCGAATGTCCACTTTTGTGCAGATAACCGCCGAGGCGATCCACGATGAACCCAATAGCGCATTGGTAACCTCCTTGGTTTTCCTAATGATACTCATCTCTTTCCTAGTTCACATGCGATTGCTAAACGTAAGCTGGAACGTCGACGTTAAGGTTTGCTATGGTGTTGGATGGTTACTGGGGGAATTTCTGTGAACCTGATGAAAACTCTGCTTCATCATAGCAAGAGATTTTTTTATTAAGCTGTCCTAACCTTATATAAAGATACTCATCCACGCTCAAAAGACTATGATATTTTTTAGAAAATAACGGGCGAATGAAAGGTAAAACTTCAAATTATTGCGGATGGGTTGTAAGTGGTTCTCTGTCTAGCTTATCCTTATCAAAGCAATATCTCCACTTAGTGCAACGTTGGTCATTATCACAGTTATTTGTTGAAGCGCACTGATGCTGTTTATGTGGTTTGTAACCAGAATGCCAACTAATGTTCTAAAAATTAAAATGGCGTGAGACGAATGCAAGAGAACTTCTCTAACTTACATGGCGCAAGTGAAAGCATTGTTTTCTCGTCTGAACCACACGAAATTAGGCTTTTTTGCACGCGAATTCATTCAGTCTAGCTTCTTAAGGGGAAGTATCCCACGCAGTACGTCCGGTTTGTGACAAGATAATGATAATCAAGGCTGGCTGTTGACTTCTTGTGAATTTCTGGCTGCAAATATCATTTGATGTTTGACATAAGCCAGATTTCCGCTCGGGCTCCCATGACGCCTTGCGGATCTCTGAAGAGTTAAGACCAAGTGACAATCAACCTAATTTACCTGACCAAAACATAAGCCACATTAGACCATACTGTTGGAAAATAGTATACCTGCTAAACCCCTTTCATTACAGTGGTGCTCTTTGCAGATTTTTGCGGCGTCACAGAATCAACGGGGTTCAAATCCCTCTGATTACAATATTGATACTGAGGATTATTCTCTGATTTGCATTGGTAGAGAGATTTGCGTACGCTTGTGCGGACCAGCTGTAATTTGGAAATCACTTACTCTTCTCTCAGATGAGAAGTAAAGTGATTTGTCTGAATTTTACGACCATGAACTTGGGGGAAGATCTACCGTCTTTTGACTTCATTTCTACATCCTTACTCTTGATAATAACTTCGGTCGACAATTTTTATTCCCTAACCACATGCAACACGCACATCATGCAAATACTCGTCAACAGCATTTTAAAACTGAACATGAAAATTTTTGTCCATATTCCCTGCAAGTACTAAACCAGCCAAAACTCTGTCAACTGACCATTTTTAATAATTTATGCGCGCTTTTTATCTGATAAACTATGTAATGAAAGCTACATCCAGATGAATATAATTTCGCAGAATTGCACGCACTTCAGTAATCCTGTCAGAATGCACCCAGTTATTCACGCGTATTTTAATCCTGTTACAGGACTCGAGTTTTCACGTTTAAGCTTGTTAGCTACATAAAACATTGAGATAACTGTGCTTATAAGCTGATTAAAATTTTGTCTAAGTAATTACTTGCAGCGCCAAATAGTGCAACTTCACTTACTGGATAAAACCACAACTACAAATTCAAAATTCCCCGCTACCCAAAAGACCATGAGCAACAGGAAACTCTTATCACGCTGCTTGGCTATCGGAAAACAAACAGGCTTCGATTGCAGGATAATGTCTAATCCAACCATTTCTTTTCAGCCAAATATCTTTAAAGTATACCCTGAGTGCATGATGCTTCATTGGGAAATGTCGTAAGTAAAGGGGCCACAAGTTAATCAGTGGTGGCCAACATTAAACTTCATGGTGTGAAACACAGATCATCATCATTGAATGTGGTTCCTTTCAATCGTGGGAGATACGAATAACAAATTTCTCCGCGTATACAAACCGGTGGGTCTGATTTAATATCAGATTCTTCTTTCTTTGCCATGACTAGTATGGAGTCACTGGGATTATTTCCTAATGATATTAGTTCTGCAAAGGGATTGATAAAAATTAGTATATCGTCTGCTCACCTCGGCAAATTTCACGTGGGTGCTGTAATTTTCCTGAAATGCTTGAAGCAAACGCCCGCTGAACATTTATTTTGGTTCTTCGCCATTGCCATTAAGTGAGATGAGAAATCCTGATGAACTTTGATAATCGCACGCCAGTTGTCTTAAGCGGTTCGTGCCATGCCATGCCAAGTGAGATTGAAACAATCGTGCATTCCATTCTTTCACTTCCGTGTGCTGCGCTACCCTTTACATTATTTGGAGAAACACTAAGAGATTTACACCTGCGTGACCAAACTTGCAGTAGTCTTGGGCATTGTTAGACGTGGTTCGAACGTTCTGTTTAGAACGGTGTCACACGAATGCCTTGTAGGAATAAGTAAGTAACCTTTGTTACTACGGAGCACGGAGAGGTGACCAAATTCTACGTTGCATAACAGAGTGAGCGGCTGCTTGATCCCACACTGATAGAAACATGCTCGTGAGTTAAAACATATCAGGCGGAAATGTACCCCATGAGCGAAACTATTCAGTTATGGGAAACATTTGTTCGTATTTTTGATGACATTTCGTCTTTAGACGTGAGTCTATTGGCTTTTACTAGTAATCATCTGTCCTTGGAAGAATGGAAGACAATTAAGGTTTTTAGCCGAAGCCATGTCTCAAGAGCCAAGATATCGGCGGTCAGCATGAGACTTTTCGAGTAGCTTGAATCTCAATTTAGATGTTGTCGCACATTTCCCACCCCTCGGTCGGTATGGAGGTTCAGGAGACCTTTTTTTATATTTCTGTACATCAACCAACGTGATGGGGGAGGTTCCGTGGAGTTCAGCGACCTGTTCAGCATGGAAAGACCGGTGACCAATTTTCACCTTTGCTACTTCAGCCCGTGACCACGAGGCTCAGTCAGCTTCTGTATATCGGTAGTTATACCGTTTCAAACATAAGTCAATACCAAAAGAAGAAACTATTGTGTTTCAGTTTACAGCCTACTTTTTCTGACGAACAGCTGTTTTGCAAGTAGGACTAGAAGAACCTTGAAATCCACAGTTTGCTTCTTATCCCACTCTTATTCGCAGCGTGAAAAATATGGGCAACACTTCTGACTCTTTATTTGTGGTCAAATTAGTGACGAATTTAACGCACAGGTTGTGTGAAGCAAAACAGCTATAGATTGCACCTTTTGACTTCCTTATGATGTTAGAAAAAGTAATCTTGTATGGAATGCAACTAAACTGCCAGTCGATATTCGCGCCAGGTAGTGGAATGGTTTGATAAACCTGGTCGCTTTTTTACTTCAAAGGAATGACAAGTGTGTAGGACCAATATTTCAGAATTATGCGAAAAATGTCTGGATTATTCGGGTCCGGATCCCGATCAAGCTTATGTATGTCAGATATAACTCGGTTTTAACCCATACTAGGAGTTACCAATGATCGCGCATTTTTTGGCGTATCTTGTTCAAGCAGTGGACAAACGCGTCTTTATGAATCACCGATAAATGATTTCAGTTTGGGGCTTAAAGAGTACAGCACAGGATGTTGACCATAAAACTGAATGACGCGAAAATGTGGTGCACCCTTTTTAGCACAATTTTGTAAGTAGAATGGCGTTTTAACTACAGAAAATTTCCACAGTACTGATATCACACTAACTGTAAAACAAGAGGTAATGTCTGAGGCAGACTGCGTTCCTTTACCTAAGTGCCGTCTATCCCCCCAATCCACCATGCTTTGTCTTTATCACCACTTTGAAAGTGCGGCAACTTTGCGTTCAACTCTCCAGCGTCACACTAAATTATTCAAATATTTTACTAGGTCAGTATTTTGTCAAGTGCGTTTTGTGTGTTGGCTCATGTTTTAAGAAAAATCGAATGAGTTGATAGTCTGATACTTAAATGTTTCGGCATTTATGCGATTTCGGGTTGCATCAATTTATGCAAACTCGACCGTGCTACATACTGCATTCACTTACCGACACTGATCACTAAGGAATTGAAATTCTGAGTTGACGGTGCCGTGGGTATTCTTTGGCACAATGTACAGAACAAAAGTAACTGTTTTGTCAGGCTTTTGCTAGAGTTATACGTTTTCGGCCGCTTCGCAAGTTTATTGCTGCAACACCCGTGAGCCACTTCAGTTATACCCTGAATACGGGTTCAAAAATCTTGGTCTGCATAACAGCTTCTTACAAAGACGTAGGTCTCCTAGACGTTGAAACTTCCGATTTCCTGTATATGAGTTTTCCTACGAGGTCAAACACTAAGGCTTTCTTTGACTGAATCCAAGATGTAAACTTCGGCCTCAACAATGGCCAACAAAACTAGTAAACTGAATTTTCCGAGAGCCCAATATCATATGGATAATGGGAATTTGTCTACGCAGCCCTTACTACTGTTGATGAAGTAATATGCCAACGGATTGCGTGTTTCACTGTATTCTTACTTTGAACCGGACTCTTATGACCAATACTTTATCTCGGTCAGTGAAATTGCTTGTCCGAGAGAAAAATCTTCACAGTATGGAATCACTTGAGTCACAAATGTGCACAGCAACTACTTAAGCGTATTCTGACCCACAATTACTTAAGCTTCCAGCATTTGGTCTGTTGGAGATCATAGTTTTTTAGCGTTCTTAGGATACTGCGTCATTCACCATCAATTTCCGACCAATCATCAGTCGTGCATCGCGTAATTTAGCTTCCACGTTGGACTGCATACTAACTCCAAGTTAGATTTTGTTGTTCTGGAGCCTCTGCATGGTTTTTGTTTGTTTTAAAATGTACCTGCTTCGTGATGGCGGGTTTCAATGATTTTGGTCGGTTATATTTTCTGGCTCTATTTTAGATCATGTACGACAACTTGGTCCTTGGCGCAATTTTAATTCATTGTACTGCAGCGTCGGCATCTTTCGCAGAAGCCATCAAAGATAAGGTAACTTACTTTTGTTTGGTTCTACCATAATTAGGGAATTCCATTTGCATAATGCACATTAGGTGAGATACGACGGAACTGACGGAGTTTGCCCGGATACAAATTTACGTGTATTGATGTTCGGGTCGTTTCGCGCTTGTTCTGCAGTTTACTGCGAACGAATTTATTTGGTGCTTTCGAATGTTCCAGAAACTAGTGATGCCTCCGGCATCTGGCAAACATCTGGATGGTTTTGATTGACTAGGGTCACTGTCTTGGGGCGTGATATTTAACCTTGCTCAACTCGGCTGTTTCACATCTACCTTTCTTCCTTTGCGGGTTTTGATGGCCTATGATTGATGTTTAGATTACCTGCGAGTGAGTGCATGCAGATTTATTCGAATGTACCCATACTGCTTCCAAAACAAGAAAAAAATGGGAAGTACCAGCTTTCTGAGAATTATTTTTTAGAGGTCAGCTTAAAAACGTCTGTTAGCTCCTCAGTTGTTGAATCTCAAGCAGTTTCCCAAGCTCGAAGGTTCTGTTCAGTCATGCGTGGGTAACTAAGACTGTTACGGTAGATGTTTTGATTACTTCAGGTATTTGACCAACGATGCCTCAGAAGCATGGCTGGTTTTGGATGGCATCAGTGAGTTCGTAACGAGGCGATTAGAAAACGGGTATTTGATTGTGTGGCAGGTACTTCAATCGGGGAAAACATCCAACATCATTGACTAGGATGGCTCGGTCATATGCTACACACGCCGAAACACCGTCTACCTAGACGAAGGGCAGATGTTGATGCCCCCCTGAAAAATTAATGCAGAATCATTTTCCTGGAAAACTTTGAAGGCCACGCCGGGCTTATGAAACATGCGAGGACTTTCCATTTCCTTTGGTCTGGGGCAAAGGCTAAGCAGAATGAAACCGGCGATGGTTGTTACCACGGAAGAAACAAGCTGGAAAGGTCATCACAACTACCAAAGACGAATCTAAGTGTCCGGACATGAATCTGTAAATCTTTTTTTCTGAGTGCTTAACTTCGATAATCACACTACGATCATTTATATCACTATTCGGATGCATTCTGATCGAACCGTGACCAGCTGGTTACAGAACATACAAGATTCCGTTTGACTTATATAGTAACCATTGACTACATTAGCAGCTTTAATCTAGAGGTGGTAAGATTAAGTGTCCGCGTTGAAATCGACTGCCTTGGATTCTGCAAAGTTATCGTAAATGACAAGCCAAGATCGATTCCAAATTTTCAAAGTCGCCCGCTTTCATCCGAAAGAGGATTTTATTTCCAACTTCATTGGAAGCAGGGTCAGAGCAACAGAGTGATGCCAAATTTGGCGAACAGTCACACAAAGCCTCCCTAAGGTTCAGGCGTTATTGACAGAATACCACGGGCTTGGATGAATTACAGGCGTGTGTTGGCGTTTTGCCCTCCAAGTTAAACTGAATTAAAGTATTACAAAAGATAGCTATTTTTGAACACCACCTTAGGGTCAGGATAGTCACGTGATACCTTGTGTCAACCAATTTTTTGCAGTAAATAACATTACCTAAGATTTAGTTTATCGAGGTTCCTTGAGGACGATTTTACGCCATGTACATCCATCGGAAACCTGGTTAAGCTCAGTAGATTTTTAAAGGATTAGAATGCTAACGATACAGTTCTCCCAGGAGCGCACAATATTGTATCGCTTCAATGAGAGCCGTATATTATGGGTCGCTGACCTATTATCCTTTTAGGGTGACTATACTCTTCAAAGTTTCCGTATACGCCAGTAGTGGGTTTGTTTGCCGAACATAACGCTGCTGCAACCCGACCATAATAAAAACCGCTTTGGTACCGGAATCAAGGATCACCGCGCAAGAAAATATGCCCTGTATTGGATGTCTTTAGTGCAAATTGCTGATGCCAATTCAAGAGCTGGGCAGTCTGCACATCACAAAAGAACTTTGCGAGGTTGGCACTGAGAACGGTTATTAATTTGCCTGCTCTTATCGACATAATATATTTCAACTTAGGCACGCTTGGTTGCTTTGTTGATTGTTATTTATGGCCATGAATTTTGTATGGCCTACACAACGTTTGTAGTATACCAAGCTGTTGAGGTTGTTATCAATATCATAGGGTGACAAAAACCGCCGATTTTAACCATTCGTTGAAAATACTGGCATGTAGGCTGGTTTAGTTCAGTAAGCCATGTAGACTGGACGTATGCCCAGTAAACGCAACTGCAAGTCGAAAACCAGAACCACTTGCTGCTAGGAACATTGAGATATAAAAGCCTTCTGAACTGTACTCAACAACTGTATTCGCGGGTTTGAATGACAAATTTTTCTCCTAAAAGCAATCAACTTCTATTTCAAAGNTGACAAATTTTTCTCCTAAAAGCAATCAACTTCAATGATATTTCAAAGCCATACCCTGTTCCTGCTGAGCAGACATATTTTGATGCCTCCACTCTTCCCCAACGAACGACGCCGAAGTGGTTCACTAATGTCTACAGGGTTAAGGTAAATTAAGATATTTTCTGACGGATCTAATGAATACCCCTTATGAACGGACAAACGATTTTTGATGAAACATTTCAAAAACCTTCCCACTAACTAAAAGGCACTGTGGCCGTTGGATGCAACAAGTTGCAGCCAAAAATTACAAGACAATACGTGAGAACAAAGTTATCTTCATACACATTGATGAGCTTTGAGAAGCAACTAGGTATATTAAAAAATGCACCCGAATGATTCCTGAAAGTCATATGTTTAGTAAGGCCTTATAAGATTCCGCTCTTACAGGCTTGGTAATTTCAAAATCGTCCGCAAGAATCTGAACAAACGCGGGTATTTTTATTGTCCTTCACTAGGCGAATTTCTTGACAAATTTCAAACCTTGGGCTGGAACAAGAAGATTCTTTGATGCGTATTCGTTCTGGATATACGTACGCCTATTTGCTGTGTAGCGTTGTGAAACCCTTTGACCAGCGGATCCACATGCTGAGTTTCAAAGTGCAGAAAACTCAGTAGACTGGTTTGCTGAACTAAGCACATTATAATTCACTATGAAATATTTAGGTTAAAAATAGAGTCTTTTGTCAACACTTTCGGTATTGTTTCTGCTGTGAACATCAATAGAATCTGTCGGAATTCTATTGAATTGTACAGATGATAAAGCGCTCTGTCATGATTGTGTCCCTATACTGTCCAAAAGGTTACGCATACTGCTGTTGTTGTGGTTGGAGGTTGGATAGTCTTATTCCTTGAAGTATCTATGATGTCAACATTGATTTCATACGGAGGTTTCGACTGCGACAATCGTCACAATGTGTCTCTCATCCAGCGTAATCCAAAGGGTTTTCATAAGAATAATCGAATGAAATTGTTTATTGCTCCAAATTGTGGTTATTACCTATGGGAACGAAGGTATTTCCCAAAAACTATTAATCACTCAAGGCAAGGATTCGCATCGAACCCCGGACAAGACGAACAAAAGCGATTGGGTTTGTGAACGAATGTCTTGGTTATCTGCTTTGTTGTGCTTTATTGTGAAAAACTAAACAACTTTCATCTTTAGTATTCCATCACAAAAATAACCAGTTTACTGAGATGTTCATCAACCTTTCTATTTTCAGCTGATAAACTGGAAACTGAACTTATCAGGGATGAACGCGGCGACTGAAAGTTTTCTTATTCTGCACCGCTTTGGGCCTGTGAGTTTTCAAGCACTTTGTACACCTTAAACACTAAGGCAAGCAGTCTACCAACCATAAAGAGTATCCCCACAATGTAAGTGCCATCTTTTCAGTTACGTAAGATTTTGGACACGTTTGACGTAAAAATCGATTAGCCTGGCGTATTCTGTCAGCGTACGATTAAAATAACCTCACGTCACATGAAGGCCGTCTTTCTCTATTCTCATTATATGTAACGGATGAGATCGCACAACACTGTGCTGGCTCATGAGAAAACGGGAGGAAATCTCATGGAAGTGCACCAATTAGTAACATATACTGAGTTTGCCTCATGACGTAGTACAATTCATGATTCTTCTCATATCAAATGAACGAATGAATTTATGTAATTCCCGGTTCCCACATTAAGCAAGCTACTGAATCCGACTAATTACACAAACATAACATCTGATAAATTCCACCATAGTTTCTCCTTTTTTCACCTCGTTCTTAACCCATTGTCGTGTAAATGTTTGCTTAACTTCAGCGCCTTCTCATAAGACGCGATTTAGTCATCTGAACTCAATAGTGATGAGGAGGAAACATAAAGACGCACATTATCACCCAGAAGTCTACATAAAAGTAGCTGGAGCTCAAACACCAGATTCAGCCATCGGCTTCGGTCAATCCATTTGGTCCCACCGCAATTGATCTGTGATGTGAAACTCGCGTATTGCTTCTAGATTTGTGTCCTAACTAGGTATTGATCTTGGCATTGCAGAGTAGAGGCTTATCTGAGCTATACATAAACCCGATGGATTGTGTATATGCATTTTGCCTTCAGAACTCTGTTCACCGGAGACTTCGTAGCATAGAGGAGAATATTGGTAGCTCAGGTAGTATAGATGGTCTTTGGTTTATTCGCTGAGCTGGGCAATTTGGTTGCAAACGTTTCATCACCAATCAAGGTGACTATTGAGCTAGCACTTATTTATACTGTTTTTTGGTTGAGCACTCAGAGGATACTCGGACAAACTCGAAGATGGTATTTACTACGATAATGTCCAGGTTCATTTAACTTAATACACTGAGGTATCTGGGTTTGTTCTTGTTGTGTACGCCTGATTTTATGTAAAAAGTTTCACACCATTTGCTATGTTGATCTTTTCTCCTTGTTGCTTATATATTGCCGTCTGTGATGGTTGTCTTTATGGGTATACAGGACGTCGTCCATTAAAATTATATATTGGTTGCTAAGATGGCTACCCTCGATGCTCTTTTTTTAGTTGGACAAATTTGAGGAAATATATTAACCACAACTTTCTATACAATAAGTCATGTATCTCTTGGAGAATAAGCCTCAGTGTGATATATATCACAAAGAAGACGGAAGTGATTTTACGAGTCTAACGTTAGGATGCCACCGTATCAGAATTCGTTGTTGAAACGGTTGCTTTTACGATAGAAGCAGTAAAAACCCGATTAGCAAACTCTGTAAAATGACGTATCTTTTGAGGAAGTTTGATGCTGTTCCCTTTGACAGTTTTCTGATCACTTGGGGTAAGCTGTCCATCAGATCCACCTTACATTTAAGTTACACCTGACACATTTTACCCAGCTAATATACTTGACAATAAACAATGTGGAAAATTCTGATAATTATACCACAACCAGGGTGTATCAGTGAAAGGCCGGGGGACGCGCTCTGCCACATGAGCCTAAAAAGTGGAATAATTTAAGTGAAACTAGAAAGAAGTAGAATATTCAGTGCTGCGAGCCCCCTGAGTCTGCGTATTATACTTATCTATCATATATAATAGGATTCCGGCAAAATAAACATCGTAGTTGCGTTCTTTTTTGATGCCCGCGAACGAGCGTTAATTCACCTTGCAGTGGACATTATCGGGGAACAGTAAAAGTGTATTTGTGCGATGAGCACGTGGTGCTTGAAAATCCGTGTCTTCTGAATTGAGGTGGAACTAGGATGTGCCAAAAGTTTGGTCTGATATTTCTCTGGAACTCTTTAGAAACAAAGGATTGTCGATACCTTTGAGATGGATCTTTTCCTCAAAGAAAATCTTTTCTCAACAGCTCATTGGAGATATCCTCCCGAATGATGACGGACTCAGCAAGCATGCCAACCATGATGGTGCCGTTTACCGTGATAACTTTACGGCATGTTCTTCTTAAGAAAAACCGCCCCCTATAGTGACTTTTGTTGTCTGGTATTGCACCGCATTCGCTTTAGCTTCGCCATAACGTGTTATACATTGAACTATTTTAATGGTATCTGTTGTTTAAAGTTCAAAAATGCGTGTAATTCTTATGGTAAAACCATGTGTAGAGGTTAGAGTCAAACACCTGATTTTCAGTTTGTCTTATACCGCACTGGGTCAATATGAATCTACAATATATTTTAAGGTGACCGTGCACGCGATCTGTCGTTTTGACCTTATATGTTCATAATTGATGAAAAAACGTTTTTGCCTCAAATCGAATGGCTGATCAGAACACTGCAGCTGGACATATAGGTAGGCGTCTAATTAGCGGACTTTCACGGGATGACACTGGTTCATGAAATGGCTCGTTTGTTTTCATCTAGGTTTTCGCTTATTGTGCCGACACCCAAGATTTTAGCCATGATTAAGATTCAACATCAAAGTGTCCTAGTGTGTAATGCGAGAAATTGATATGCCATTTTCAGTGATTTTGCTTCTGAGTCGTTGTAATCAGTCGTTAAATCACACCGGTACACCGGAACCCATTATTTTATCTTCAACTCAATTATTGAGTGCGGTCTTTAGTTTTAATGTTGGTCAATTATCCCCGTAACGCTAACGTGGAATAACGCAGTGATATTAACAATTTAGGCTGCTTCCAACCGGTTGCGAGTGCCGGTTGTTGAATACATTGTCATGCATGATGACCCGGTGGAATTGGTTTTTCGCATCGTCACCATGCCCAAAAGGGAGGAAAACAAAGACTTGTCGGATGTTAATAGGATTTTTGAGGTTACTTGCATCTTATTGACGTTGAAAGCTGACAAGTGTGTATACTTTATGGAATCTGCTTGTCGCCCAATCCAGAACCATATTTAATTTCCAGTTGCTTGGGAGGCGGACGGGTTGTTCTTGAAACCGTTTTGAATATACCGTCATTGGTTCTTTCTGGGGTTAGTAAATTTTTATCTGTTCCTGTTGAATCGAGCCCCATGGAGAATGCAAAGCATAATATGGATGCCTTCCTGCCTTTTAGGATGCGCTAATACTCTGCAGGCGAATAAACAATACTTATTAATTACATTTCCTGTTAAAAACAAGTGGTGGTATTTAGGCGTGTCATTAGCCTATCAAGTGTTTGCCGTCGGGACAAACTGTTAACAGTTATTCCAGTGGTATTGGAATTATTTTATCAGCTAACTCTGAAAGATGTCATACATTTAGTGAAAGTATTCAAAACTTTTTATTTCCTATCAGTTTTGTGACCTTTTCTAAAATGCTTGGAAGCCAAAAGTACAAGAACAAGCACCGCGAGCAGTGGGACACACGGGAATAAACATCGTATTTTCAAAATAACTAACCGCCCCCCCCCCGCTATCTCATACAAGAAGGGCGAAATGTTCATGCTTTATTCCACAATTTTCTTAACTTACGGATTAATTACTGTTTCACCTTCGTTCCTTTCCTACCAAATAGGTCACCAAGGTTGGTAAAGCCTTCGTCAATCCTGTGGTCTAGATTAGTAGATGTTGTAATAATGTCCCACTCTGGTGGTGAAAACACCTTGATTAGCCCGTTAGATAGAAGCAGAACCAGAATCTGCATTTTAATGGACACTTGAAATGTATTTGGCACCGATTTGTTTTGCTACCACTATTAGCTGTGTGCTAAAATATGTTGGAGGGTGTGTGCTTAAAAAAACTCATAATATTTGCCCATTTTACTATAGAAAATCGGCCAATCTTTGAGCGCTGTGCTTTTTGACACTGTATCCAACTTTTTAGGGCCGTTTTTTCTGTGCAAGTGAAATGACAATTTTTTTTTGAAAATGCAATACGAAACTAGATACCGGAAAGCCATACTAGTTCTGAAGCACAGACATGTCACCATTTCTTACAGGCTGAATTTTGCCATTCTGAGTAGCCCGGATCGAAGATCATAATCCCGATTTTGAAGCACCACACGGTTCTTATCCAGCATATAAACCATAGAATGTACTTTTGTACAATTGCCATACACTTCAGCTCTGCTGTAGGACTTACGGTTGGAAGAGCTAGGTTTCACGGGACAATATGAGACATTGGGCTTGGGCTAGAAGTCAAATTTAATCAGCAACCAGAAAAAGGTTAACATTTTGTTGATTCACTTGGTTTTGGCTCGCCGAAGGTAAGTCCAAATGTATCTTCAAGCAGGGGTTTTCGTCGTCCAAGAAGTAGAAATTGATCAATGTACACCTTTCCTGGACTTTTCAGCCACACGCCTGGTCTGGACGACACACGAAGTTTTGCATCCCTAGTCCTTTGAAATGCAAGCTCAAAGTCGTGCAATTACTGTTCCCTGAAGCAACGAGAATCCGAACGGTGGATTTATTGACCAGGAAATTAGAGGACAGTGAATACAAACTACATTTAATCGGGCAACATAGCGAGGTGCAAATGCTAGCAACAAAATGTGAGTTGACCAGCAAAGGGCCTGTCTGCTTTCGAGCAGAACAAAAAGAGAGGAAGCTTACTGGCCGGATTGATCGCGAGCTTATTTATGGCACCAAGGATGATGTTAGGCGCAGCAGGACTCGGGGCGATCAGCGTAACCCTGGGATTATCAGTAAAATTCATTATGGGAGTAAAACCCATCAACACTGCATAGCGTTGTGTTTGGTAATCTACTAGCAACTGATGAGCCGACTCATCCTCCTCCAGTAGAAAGTTACGATAAGCTAAAAATGCAAATTAATTAACAGCACAGCAAGTTACATTGGTAAGGCCGATGGGCGTATCTTCTCCAATCAATAAAATTGTCCAAATTTTGGTGCCAAACTAAACTGGAAAACCTATCTTAACTCCTATTGGCCGAAGGCTATCAGCATTCTTCGCTAACCGATATCTGTTGCTGTCACTATATCCTGCTGATTTTGGCGCCATCTTTTACCATCCCACTTTGCTACACAGAGTCACACATGTTAGGTGTAATTCCAATGATCGATTAAATTCTAATTCTGCGTTCGGAAACAACTGCCTCTGCTTGTTAGACTGTCATGTGCTGATAAAATTACTATTTTCTGGGTTACCTTGACCTTTTGTATGGCTTGTTTGCATGGAATATTTTTCTTGTCAAGAAGTTTCACGTGGTTTTGGCAAGTTAGTTGCGGCTTACCGATAGTCGCCCTGTTCGAGACCTACTAGATAGGTATAGTCCTTGGAATCTGAAACAGCACTTTGGCTGAATTGTTACCCGTGAACGAATATATATATATA